TCTTTTATTCAGTAGTGTTCATTTATTTTCGAAATACTTATTCAGAACCAGCAAACCCATCAACAGAACTACGAGGCCATTATTTCATTTCTCTGGTATTTCCACAATAGCGAAGAATTTCTCCTTCAGACATATGTTAAATAGCCATTTCAATGTTGATTTCATTAAATTCTTTCAGAATTTCAGTTGTCACTTCTTCTGATTATTTGTTGTTCAGGTCGTTAACGGCCTTCCCAATCTCAAATTCTTCGATATCTGGCATATCTTTGAAACTGGAACCTTCGGTTTTTTCTTTGAACTGTATAGATCACCACAGAGGGTTTGCACAGCTTTTCTTTCCATAAACTTCCTTCTTTTCCCAACCAAAGTCACAGGTAAGTGTAAAGAGTTGAAAAAAAAAAACTGAAAAAAAGGTAGTACGTTACAAAATGATAATAAGAATATATTTACCATTACGTTAGGTACGTTTTTTGATCACATTAATTATATTATTAACCATACCCCTTTTGTTAACAAATTAACAGGAGGCCCATAATATGCTAAGTTTACTCAGCGAATAATTATTAGGAGTTTCATAAGTACAGAATGGCAAGGGCGCCACTGAATTTAAAAAAATTATAGTTATTTACATTACAAGTGCGTTTATGAGCATGATTACAATAACGAGTGTGAAGGATTAGAACGACGCGGTCGTAAACCGAGTCGTTCTAATCACACGAGTTTTATAGCCATGTTTAAACGGACGTGTGATGTACAACGTTTTATCTACAAAGCGAAAAATAAGAATATTTTTCCAATTATTTTCGTTCATTGGTAGCTGTCTACCTTCATTTTACCTTCACAGGTTTACCTTTGACATTTGTCAAATCACCAAAAATAGTTGTTGTATAGACTCAGAACCTCGTCCATAACACCACTAGTTGTTTTAATTAGGTAACTGCCCAATTAAGGACCGATTGAGAAGTGTTTTCTCTCTGCAGGACCATCCGTCGACGCGTTTCGCTGTATCACAGCCACAGCTCATCAGCACGGTTAGGTCCCGCAGAGAGAAAACACAACCCATTTTTGGTTCCATCCCGGAACTGTGTTTGATACAAGTGAGATGAAGACAGAGTCTCCATTAGGTTATGAATTCATAACCTACTCTATAACACCACTGGTTGTGTTATGAGTCTAATGACGTAACTGAAATACTAGAAAAATGGTTATGTGAAAACGTCATAACCAAACGCTTGTAGATAAATAATTAAATTAAATACATAAAATATTGAAGTGTGAAAATTCAGAAACACACCTAAAAAAAATAATCAGCAAACGGTTATTGATAATTATTCTGAAAAGGAAATAAATAAGGCATATAACTCAACCAAATCTTGACATAGGTAAAACCAATAAAACACTCAAGCAAATTTCAAATAAAAATAATATTACAATGTACCTCAATATACTTGCCATATAAGCTCATTGGCAGTCGCTGGCCATATCATTATCATGAAATGAAAATATAAAAGATTTAAGTTTCCAGAAGACTAATTTTAAAAAAAATGGATGTTTGAAAATTGTAGAAAAAAAAAGAATAAATTCAGTAAAATCAAATGCACCTGTATGAAATCAAAGGTTGGGTTAAATGGTCAGGAGATATAATAGAAATCCTCAAATATATGAGGATCCAGGGTTGAAAATTGATCAATTTTTGACGATGTAGATACTGTAAATTTAGACATGTTGTCCAACCTTGAAATATAAGTACATTCTTTAAATATGGCGATACTAAAAGTTAAGTAGAGATAAAATCTATAGCAAATACGATAAATCAAAAATCGGAAATAATTATTTAAATTTCACTTAGGTGTCAAGAATGTGAAATTGAAATTTTAAATATTTAAATATAATGTCAGTAAAAATTTGATCAATTATGGTAATTGATCATAAAGTAGATTTCATAAAAAAGGTTATAAATTAAACTCTATGCAAGCCTCAATTCCAACGAAAACGTTAGAGTACGGCAGCCATCCATTTTCTGTCACTTGACGAGGGAAGTTGCAAATGGAAGTTGCAGATTCTAGTCTTGAATCATGGTAGATAGAGGCTAGAAGTTCAGTTTTCTCCGTCAAATGTGGATGATGTCGACACGTGAGGAACTTGATTCCTCTAGGCAATCCCTTCTAAAGCTCTATGTCGCGCTCCACGGAAATGGTGATTTTTAGAAATGTGGGATTGTTGAAAATGGATTCCCTGGGAGAAACTGCTCTTCCGAAAACCTTAAGTAATAGAGGCATTCCATGAACAACAAAAAATTAAAAAGGACTGACCACGAGGGGGTTCGTAATTTCAAACTGGAATAAAACGGTAATCACGAAACTTTTGTTTTAAATTTTTCCGGTAATCAACGGAACTTTGCCTTGCGCAACATTTGGGTGGTATGAATAAAAACGAAATATCTGCTGCTACTACAAATATTAGTATATTCTCCGTAGTATTTACTTTAAAATGAAGTAGATACTACATTTCGAAACTACCGGAAATTAGTAAATCTTTCTTTGTGAAGTAAATACTTCGTAGAATATACTACTACTATAGTAGCAAGTACTTCGTTTTTACTCATACCACCCTTTATTTCGTCAAACTAATGCCTGATGGCCGATAAGGTACTTTTCTTCACGAGAACGGTAATCACAGTTGAGGAAGATGGCTGCCCCCAGGCCAGAGTGGACCTTTCAGGACCAACGGCAAAATTTAAGAGGGACGATGAAAAGGACAAGCTGAACAAGCAGAGCTTCCCTTCAAAAAAAAAAAAAAACAACGGAGAGTGTTGGTACCAAACTGGTACTTCAAATTTAAACGGAAAGCGTGCCCTCTAGGTTAATAATTGCTACTAATATTTTCGACAGAAACCTACTTTTGGGTTCTTTTAATAATGGCAGTCATCAGACTGTCTGTATTCAAGACGATAGGTAATTTTTATAAAATATTATATGGAAAAAAGAAAAACAGTACCTAACATTTGGCATGCTACAAGCTGTCGTTCCAGGACAGCATCCTTAAAAGGAAATTCGCAGCAAATGATATAAATCCTACGCAAAAAAATAAATAAAATAGAATCACTTTAACAACTACTTACGTAACAACTTCAATTAATGTCGAAAGCCAATTATTATTTGGGATTTTCTAGGGAAGTTTCTGGAATTACCCACTCAGAACATCTTTACTTTAATCTCAGTTTTAATTACTATTTGCGAATAGTCAGCACATTTCAACAGCAATAGGATCAACTCAATTTACAATTAAATAAATACCTATGTTTTCATTCTATGGCAAACGTTGAACATTATAACATAGAATTTGAATAAATTAATCGATTTTTGAGGTTAAAGACCTCCCTACATAAGTAGATGTAGGGTATACCTACTTTTTGTTGAAAATTGTGCAATTTATCCGATACGAACATATCAATTTAGACAAGCGATATCCCTGGGATATACCTACGTATTCATGAGAAAATGTCCAATAACGTGAGGCAATTTTCTTTTCTTAAAGAAAAATGGATTATGTATTTTATATGTATGTTGTTTCTAAAGCTATTTTATTATGTCTGTGCAAATAAATCGGTTTGGATTATTTTCATCTGAACATCTTGCACGAAACCCATTATATAGGAGTATCTACCTAATTAGATTTATCCTACTAAGTCTGACGTGATTTCATTGCCAAAATAGGGAAAAGTTACCACAGCCACTACAGTGTATCTTATGGAGAGAGAAATACAAGAGGCGAAATCCACTCCACAACTTCCTTAATGATGAAAATGCTAAAGACTTTACACAGGAATTCACGGCAAATGAGCGGAATATAAATTTTGAAATTAGGTTTGTTGGAACCTTTTACCCGAACGAGCAAAAATCCTGAAAGATCAGAGTAGGACTTTTGGAATCCCTATAGTTATTTTTTAGTGAAATAACGTGTATGGCCAAGCATATATTACTAGGTATATGTATACCTAAAGCTTTTTGACAACCATACCAAGTGAAACGTGAGTTTCTGCTCCCACTAATATAATTGTATGTTCCATTATTTTCATATCACAAAACACGAAAAATAATTTATTTTTGGGAAACTTGAAAAAACAATGTCCGTTTCCATTACTTCAATATCATGAAATATGCATTTTTCCTTTCCCGAATATGTTGGGAAAATAAATTCATTTCACCAACCCCAGTCTTTTGTCCATAAATTCTCCCCCATACCGCTTCCTTGGGCATTTTGATTTCGCTTTCTAACCGCCATATATTTGAAGTTAAAGTGGAATGTGGGACGCGATATAATAATGCAAATACAAAAGCATTAAAGTATCTCAAATTGTATGCATGTAGGCGTATGAAGGGGTTGGTAAATTTATGAGGTGTAAGTTTCCAACTTCTACTGTAACGTTTCGGGCTGGTTAATGGTTCAAATACTTTGGTTAATAAAGTAGGTAATGCCTAAAATTTGTCTCCTATGTGTTTTAGAATTTTATAACAGTTTACTTACCCAACTTCAAAAATTCTTTTCAAATTCAGTTCATTGGGTTTATATAAGCATTAACCAAAAAAAAACTGTGTTTATAATCGGCCTGACAAGATCTCTAATTGACGAACTTATTACCGAAAACGTCTTAAAAGTTTCCGAGTCGAAATGTTAGTATAGCAAAACGTGACGCCAAAAAGAGAAACACATAAAACGGAAACAGTGGGAAAGAAGGGCTCATTGATCAACTAGATACCCCAAAGGTAAATGTTACGTCAATGCGAATTTAACCTGAAATTGTTTTTGTGTCCCCCTTTTCTTGGAGTAGTACATAGAAGTGAGGACATTCGTTTATGTGTCAGAGTTGATTTTTACGAAAATAAACGCGAAATTTACGTTGCAACCGAAAATGAAATCTTCGACAAGGCAAAACATTGTTTTATTTTTTACTTTTTCCTCAAATATATTTAGTTTTATTTTATCTCTTTCATTTACAGGTAAAACGAAACCACTGGCGGCTAGTAGCAGTTGAGCTATAGCATAAGGAAGACAATTATTGTAGTTACTTCAAAGCACAAATTCAAAACAATAAGCACAATGAATATCCGCCCCAAAGACAAAGTAACAGCAGTTTTTCGAAGGCTCTTCAAGTCGTCTAACAATAAGGAAGAGGGTCCTAGTAAAGCCAGTGGGCCGCCTCAAGCTTCTCCAGCACGGAGATTACTAAGAAGTAAGTGAAAAATCAATATAATCATTATAGGCGAATATAATTAGAGTTACTCGTAATTGGACATTTTCCCCGCGAAATTCAGGAACAGAAAAAATGGCGCTCTGATTTTCTACCTTTCATAGTTGAATCAGCTCGAGTGCGAAATTTTCACAGAACTCGTTCCCTTCATCAATATGGATTTCTTTAAAGCAATCTTCCATCCTCATCCACTTGAGAGATTTTATTTCTATCCGTTCTATTTCTGTATCATATATGCATTCATTTCTTTTTGTTGTTTCAAGTGACATACAAGTGTCCTATCATATTCAATTATTTTGTTCAGAAATCCCATGCCTATGTATTGTCCACACTACATTGTCCCTCATCTCTCAGCCATTATTTAAATATCGGTTTCAGAAAACCTAAACCTTGGAAACATGTCAGTGCCAAATGAATTATAGTTAGGGTGAAAACTTTTGGAAAGCAGAATTAGGACAAAGAGGATGACAATAATTACATTTCTTATTAGATGTCAGACGTTTATTGAGAAAACTTCTAATAAACATTATTTTAACCAGCCCGTCTAATTGAAATAAACTAACTCTTGCTTCTTTGCACACATCATGGTTTTTGTCTTGTCAACGGCCCTAGTCCTAGTCAAAGAATCTGCACCTTGCTCATCTGCTCATCAACATACTTAATAATGATAATTTTGATATGTAGATATATAATATATGTTTGGTGATTTCCCCATTGGCTCCGAGTATGTGGTCCGTGGCCGGAATACTCCGGCTCCAGTTTCCTCAGCAGTTTTGGATCCGTCTGTGTACCATTTGATGGTGTTTGCTTAAAGGGATTGGATAGATTCCATGTTCCATCTGTTATTTGTACATAGTTCGATGGAAAAGTTTTTCTCGAAACTGAATTTATAATTTATCAACAATCACGTCTTTTGGTAGATCCATGTGTGTGCACAGTTTGGGAGTGGAAAAGTTCTTCCAAGGTGCGTCTCCCTTTGTAGACCTATCTTCTCCAGTCTGAGAGTTGATCCACTGGCAACCCGCTTCACTATTATGTGGAGTGGTGTGAGGTCTAGAATGAATTCTAGTGCCGCGGTTGGGCATGATCTCATTGCTCCTATTATACAGAGACACGCGAGTCTTTGTACTTTTCCTAGCTGTTACTAGTTCGGTTCGGTTATACCAGGCTACCGCTCCGTAGGTGATGATAGGTTTCACTATCATGGTATACATCCATCTTAAGACTGACGGGTTACAATCCCATGCAATGTTTTTGCAGACCTTCCAAAATTGCTTTGTTTTTTGTGTTCTCTACATATCGGTTCCAGAGAAGTTTAGAATCTAGGGTTATTCCTAGGAATTTAACTTCTTTTTTCCAGTCAAGTCTGCTTCCATCGAGGCGAAGGTTTCTCAGGTTTGGGAGTTTCGTTCTTTTCGTGAATGTTACCAGTGTGATTTTTGGTGAGTTTAGATTCAGCCCCACTGTCTCACACCATTCCTTCGTGGTTCAAAGTGCTTTTTCTATAAGGTCGTAGAGTATTCCTTCGTATTTGCTTCTGGCCATCATGACAATATCATCGGCGTATCCAAAGTAGGTGAAGCCCTGATCGGTCAGTACATTTAGGCCATCAACCACTAGACTCCACATCAAAGGTGAGAGTACTCCTCTCTGAGGACATTCTCTAGTGGTCTGTTCACTTACGTCAGTTTCTGTAGTTCTGGTGGCTAGAGTTTCGCACATCCAGGTTGATGTGGTTTTGTCCACTCCTTTTTTGACGAGCGCATTCTTTATTGACTCACGAGAGGTGTTATCAAATGCTGCCTCTATGTCCAGGAAGGCGCAGATGGCTACTTCTTTATTATGCAATGTGCTTTAGATGCTGTCAGTGAGTTCAAGTAAAGCTGTTTCCGTTGATCTGTCCGCTCTGTAAGCATGCTGCCCAGGATGTAGTGGCGTCTTTTCTAAAACACTTGTTCTAATGTAGTTATTTACAACTTTCTCAGCAAGAAGGACGTGAGGCATATAGGTCTAAACGACTTCGGAAGAGTGGCATCTCTTTTCCCTGCCTTTGGGATAAAAGTTACTTTAGCTCTTCTCCATTGACTGGGTATGTATCCGGTCGCTAAGCTGTACCTGATGAGTTCGATCAGATACGGCATGATTTCATTATACCCTTTTTGCAGCAGGGCTGGAAAGGTACCGTCAACTCCAGGCGACCTGAACGGTTGGAACGAGTCGATCGCCCAAGTAAGCCGCTGAGGAGTGCAAAGGTTCTTGGCAACCTCCCAGTTTTCTTGCCTGGTTTTCCTGGGCCGGCATTTTGCTTTCTTCAGTATCACTGCGGACTGTGAGTTTCCAGTAATAGAGTAGCTCGTTGCTCTTCATTTTTTGTGTAACTACCGTCTGGTTTCTTAGGTGTCAATGGTCCTTTCGCCAGGGTTTTGTATAATCTGGCTGCTGATGGTGTTTCTGTAATAGATTCACAGAAGTCTCCTGAAGTTTTTTCGCTTGGCCTTCCTGATTTCTTTGTTGTACTCAGTCAGCCTCTCGGTGTAGCCCTGCTATTCTCCGTCTCGTTTGGCTTTGTTGAAAAGCCAACGAATCTCGAATCTAAGTCGTGATAGGTGACTGTTCCACCATGGGCAACCATTTTTGTTTACTTGGTCTTTTACGGAACAGCTGGATTCGTATGCCTCCATGTTTGCTCCGTTAGGGATTTGAAGGGTTTCTTCTACTTTACGTATATTCTTGCAGCTAGAATGATTTTGTTCGAGGTTGCATTGCAGTTTAGTTCTGTATTTTTCCCAGTTCTTATTTCTGGGGTTCCTATACGAGGTAGTTCGTTCCTGCACTCCTTTTACGTTAAATATTATGATTCTGTGACCAGAGAGAGAGGGTTCATTGGACTCTCCAATTCCTGATCATTTAGTCAATATTTGGACTACAAAGTGTTTTCTAACACTTCCTGTCTGACCCTAGTAACAAATGTTGGTGTATTCCCTACAATTTGTATATTTAGGTTTGAAAGATAAATTCTAACAGTTGCTCACTTCTTAGATTTGTTAACTTCCCCAAAATGGTGCTGTGGGCGTTTGCGTCACAACCATTTAGGAGTGGTAGTTTGCTCCTGTTGCAGTACTCGACTAGTTTATGTACTTCTTCTCGTGGTGCTTGCCCATCTCCAGCGAAGAAGCCTGATGCCAGTACTAGGTTGCGGTGTGGTTGGTCGGTGATAAGTTTTCCCCGAACGGTGACCAAGTCCCGCGACGTAAATTCTAGAAGACATAAATGATTAATGTTCTCTTTCAGAAGAATGCATGCTCTAGGCTCGTTACACCGACTGTCCCAGATTAATTTTGCCCCTTTACTTGGTAAACCTTTGATCTGCTCCTTATATATCCAAGGTTCTTGGATTGATACGGCTTCCAAGTGTGCCGACATGAACAACCGCGCTATAGCAGCAGGTGCTCCCCTAGCGTGATGTGTGTTCACTTGGGCTATTTTGTTGTAATTCGCCATCTTACCTGTTATTATGTCATACGATTGCTTGCACAGTTATCTCCATATAATGTACGGTGTTTTCCACCCTCAGAACACAGTTGTTGAAGAAACATTCAACTTCAATTTTTTTTTCTTCAATTTACTCCCCTGAATAATTGTGTCTCACGTCGATATGTTTAAAACGAACATGGTAAGCAGCACCATTATTTTCTACTGAATTGCCTCTTCTTTCTAGGTCCTAATAAGGCTTCTTGAGCGGCCATCGACAAAGCGATTACTCGCTCTTTGTCGCAGATAAAGCAAATGTGGTTTGTTGTTTAGCGGCTTACGAAATCGCCGTTTAATTTTCTAGGAAAACATCAGTTGTGGTTTTTATTTTGACAACATCGCCTGCACAGTCTGCATCAGCATATCCAATAATTTTCCTCCTTCTATTTTTTGAGCTATCAAACTCGTATGAACATCATTCCTTTAAAATATCCGAAAATTCGTTCAACCACATATTAGGTTTATGGGTAAATCAGGTTACATTATTCACAACAAAGGAAATATCAGGTCCTGTAATCTGTGCATATCATATCTTTAATGTGAGTCCATATGGATTATTTCGTCGTCGAAATAATGGAAGTGTTTTTGGTAAGTCGTTAAGACCCTGATCGATAATTCGGTTAAATTCAGATGGGGCAGTCTTAATACGAAATGACAATCTATGCATTTTATTTGTTCCACGGTATGTAGTGAAGATTTAAATCAGGCTACATTCATCGTCTACTCGTAACCTTCTTATTTACCTCATAAGCTCTAAAAAGCTTCTTTTTAACGTCCGAGAAAATTTGACCCAAAGATTTAGAACGATTTTCCATTGGAGTAGCTCTATCGAAAAGAATAGGTCCAACATTATCGAGATTTTCATTTGTACAAGGCAGCTTCGGACCATAGACCATAAATAATTTGGGGTATAACCAGTAACCTCATGAACTATTCCACGAATTGCTGCACCAATACGGTTCAAATGTTTATCCCACAGGCGATGATTTTTTGAAATAGTAGCCATCAACATGCTCTTCATAACTCTGTTGATTCCACTATGATAGTTCTCGGACACTTAAACATTAAAATTACATAATCCTCCAAACAACGACAAATCGCCGAAGCAGTGGCAGTTCTTAACGGGAAAATAAGAGAAAATTTTGTAAAACAACAAACTAGAAATAAAATATGAGAATATCCAGAAGTTTTTTTTGGCAAAGTGCCAAAGAGATCTGCACCAGTTAACTCGAAAGGTTTAGAAATAGTAACTTGGGAGCTTAACATTACACCCGCCCGTGGTTTTTGTTCAGGCTTGACAGCAATAGTTACATTTTCGACAACGCCTAAAAAAATTAGCTACATCTGACTTCATTTTGGGCCAATAATATTTCTGAGTCAATAATTTGTACGTTTTGGTTTTAAATACTCCGACATGACAAAGTAAATTATGGGCATCTTCAATCAGTTTT